ACGGAGTTTTCCTCCGTGGCGTCCCAACAATTACTCCATTCACACCCAGAAGAAGGCAATGGCAAACCACTTCTGGATCATCTGCCAAGAACGTATATGAACAGGTCCCAGTCCGAGAAAAGGATGGAAGGATCCTGTTCATATGGACCTGTCTTCAGACAGAACACTAGAAAATATAATAAGTGCGTTTTAAATTGTCTCTTCTTTTTAAAGTGGTTTTCAGTAGACGGTTACTCATAAATTTTATGGCTATGTCTTGTTTCCCCCTGCTGTTACTGAGAACATGATTTTCTCGTGGTGTTCATTATCGTTTGGTTTCTGGACTATGCCTATTGGCCTCTTCCGGTTCGACTTCGTGGCCATCTTGATCGGCAAGGGAACCGGCCCACTGAATTCAGGAATTACGCTGTGCTCCTCAGATCCCTGCGAGAACGCGAACTGCGTTCAGCCAGAGGTGTGCCAGTTGGACGAGCAGAGGAATCCGGTGTGCAGGTGTGGGGACACGTGCTCCCTGGAATTCACGCCGGTGTGCGGCTCTGACGGCAAGACGTACCAGAACGAGTGCAGCCTCAGACAGGAGGCCTGCAGGTCCAGGAAGAATCTCCGAATCATCTACCGCGGCAAGTGCAGCTCAGGTGCGTTATTCTCTCGTAAGGAAACAGGGAAATTATTTGTTATCGATAATGAGTGACATCGTATTCATGCATCCGGCATAATTATTTGGTCTAAAATTTTAAAATACCGTGAATCTGTCCGTAGGAGACGACATTTCACTTTTGTAGGACTTGAATTTGTCACGGCGTTGACTATGAACGTGGCTGTCTTCTGGGTTATAGCGCCGTGTGGTCTGGTAGAAGTTTACTCATCGTCATGATGATGGAGGCAGCAGGGACCTTTGTAACGTTTATGAATTTCTACGAGATCACAAGGCGCTATAAGCCAGACGGCAGCTGTCTTCGACATTTCAGTTGATTATTAGGAAAGGACAGTTTCCAAGACTAAAATACGATTATTCAATGATTTTTAAAAGTTTTATTTACAAGTTCAACTTCACATTGTAATTCTGGTTTAAATATGACAGTGTGTAACACCAATGCAATATTCTGTGTTTAATAATGAATGTCGATCTAGTTACGTCTTTTGAAAATTTTTAAAATCCCTAATTCGATGTCGATTACAAAATTCCTTATCGATTAACATTATATAACCTAACCTAACCTAAACTAACATAACCTAAACTAACCTAAACTAACCTAACCTAAACTAACATAACCTAAACTAACCTAAACTAACCTAACCTAAACTAACATAACCTA